GCCGGCTCATCCCCATATTCAATTCATTGAGGGAAATGTGCTTAGTAGATTTTGTAACATATTAATGATTAGTATTTTAGTGGTATCAGTGGGAGGATGATCTTTAGACTCAAAATTATTCTTAAAATGTGTTTTGGTTTGACAAGGGACGCTGGCAGTCCCAGATGCAGCAGCTCAGGGACATGGGGATTCAGGACGAAGAGCTGATGCTGAGGGCGCTGCAGGCCACAGATGGTGACATCCAGGCCGCCCTCGAGCTCATATTTGCTGGAGGCCCAGGACTCTGAGGTCACACACACCATGGACAGAGGGAGCTTGTAATGCTGCTGCTCAGAAATGACAACAAAAAAAAGAGACATACACTTTTTAATAAACCCACATGAACCATTTCAACTGAGCTCTCTGTTTGTATTGATTTGACTTGTAATAAAATGAGACATGTTTACCTCAACAACTCATCAACAAGTCTTTCTGTTATTGTTTCTAAATATATTACACAGATCAATCAAACTGAATGTAATTAAGAATGCAACACATATCAGAGCGATCCATAATAGAAAAGACAGTATGAAAAGAAAGTTAAGATAATATAATATACATAACCAAAAATACTATTAGTAAAACAATATTCAGTGAGATAAATATAGAAAATAAAAATGCAGAAACCATTGATTTCTGATTTAAACCAGAATAAATAGGTGAGTATTTAATTTTTGAAAATATCAACACTTCATTCCTCTCTCACATCCTCTGGAGGCTGCTGTACGGGTGGAAGCACTCAGGTGGAAGTTCATGCAGCGCCTTATAAACTGAGGAAGTATTTCAACATCAATTGGAAAATGAATAATGAAATTCAGGAGCAAATTAGTGACACTTTATTTCAGTATGTTACTTATGTATAAAATTGTAGTGAACACTCTGTCCGCCCACAGTGGACCATTAGGGGTTCCCGGACCCCGTGTTGAGAACCCTCTTTTGAATCATCCACTGCAGCTACGTCATCTTCCTGCAGCTGATGCAGTACCCCCTTTTATACACTAGATGGCAATGCAGTAGTTTGTTTGTGTCACCGGTCATCCCAGCTCACACCCTCACCACCTCGCTGCTTTTTTCCCCTAAATTTAAATGAACGCAGTCGATCTGTTCTGTGTGGATCAGCTTTTTTAAATGGCTCCTCTATGCGTAGCTGTGTGATTTCATATTTCAAACAGGACAGTGAGCTCAGACAGCCTGGGACATACAGATGAAGGTTGCACAGATAAGGTGATGGCTTCAGAAACATCCTCGGAGACGTTGATGGTCTTGTCAGAACATTGGTACCATTAGCTGAGCCCCCCTCCGCCCCTTTATTTCCCCTCTGCCTTATTACAGGAAACATTCGCTTTGTCTCATTGTCTCCCCTCACTGTGTGTTTTTTAGGAGGGTGGAAGGACACATTGCCCCCCCCCCCCTGCTTCCCTTCTCCATCTACAGTAATTGCCCTGCATAGTTTTATTGCTGCATCTGTGACTGTGACAGCTCAATCAGAGGATTGGCTCTTTCACGAGCACAGCACTTTGTGTCCGTCTGTCCTCATCACTGTTTTATATGCACACACACCTGCAGACTGTTTCCACCTCCCATCTGCCTCCAAGGGTGTTTTTACCAAATAAAGGATTTGCACCGTGCTGATATATCTGCTTCATAGCTGCAACAAAAGCCAAGGTGAGTGAAAGGCCTCATTGTCTCTCTGGCATGTCTGATGAAAAGGAGACTGTTCTCAAAAAGTAGCTGAATTTTAAAACCAAAGAGGGGGGATTGTTTTTTCCCCATTGAAATCACATGTTGCAGTATTTCATGTCTATTTCATGTTTTTAGTGCGAACACGAGTACCTCAACCTTCTTAACGGCAGCTTTCGAAATACCCGTTAAGAGTAACCTTCTTAACGGCAGCTTTCAGGATACTCTAAACAGTTCACTGTGGAGAATCACCATGGGAAGTTGTCATGGTGATGGTGTATGAAACTGCGTCACACACGGTATAGAGGAGATGTTATTGCACATCACATTGGCCCCTTCTTGTTGTCAGCTGTGAGCCACTTCAAAAGTAGTGTTGACAGTGTGTAACCTCTCAGGACCTGGACTGACAGTGTGCGAACAGATAAACACGATTCACAGTCGACACTTAAATAAAATGTTTAATATCTGGTGATTGTATATTTGTCTCTTTAAAACTAAAGGAATAAAAAGGTTCAAACTGGTGTAAAAAAAAAAAAACTTTGAAAACCCAACAGATGACAGAGATTGATGAATATTACAGGTTATTTTGGTTTGTTTGTAGCGTACTTATACAAAAACCACAGATTACATTTTAGTGCAGATCCAGGAACTGTTTTTTTAGAGAATAAATCACTGATGTTGATCGAAAAGATAAATCAGACATGAGTGTGTGTAATTTGGTGCACATCCCCGAAAAAATCTGGATTGAGTGAAACGTGGTTTCATAAGGGGGCTGCTGGGCTGCAGTGCACTTGATGCACACTACAGGGAGTCATTCAACCATTCAACCATTCAACCAATGTTTCCTATCAACTGTTTGACCTTATCTTTGTGATCACTAGGGTCCCTCTTCACTGGGCTTCATCACTGGCATCACATGACGCTACATCACACATATAAGCTTTCTCTGTATATTCATTTAATTTTTTGTTAAAATACCCCAGTGGCTGATGCATATCTGTTTAAAACTCATTCACTGAGCAGGAAGAGGCCAAAACCATTTTGAAAAATGTTGCTTCCTTATGACGCCCAGCCTGCAGCGTTGAAGTTGGTCCACATCTGTCCAATTTCTCCTGCACTGACCTGGGATTCAGATAATGAGCGAGAATCCCCGCGTCCTCACAGGCCAACGTGATAAGCCAATAGAAACAATCAATGCCAGGTCTTTAGAGACGGTGTAAAAGCTCGTCTGATCAAACCAGAACAATAGCGATGCTTTTCTCTCAGGGTGAAATCCTCCGTCGTGCCAGAGGAGCAGACAAGGTTGATATGATGTGCTCCATCTGCCTTTGTCTTTCTGAAAAGAGGGCACTTCACGGGTTATTAACATACACTCTGTTACCTGAGATTGTTTTGTGCCCGGTGTGACTGAGCGGAATATGAAATCAGCTTCTGACAGACACGAGGCCATTTTATCCCTCTGTGGCCCATTCATTGCTTTCAAGCTGCGCTTCTATTCTTCCCCATCTTTTTTTCCCCCAGCATTCTTTTTTTTTCCTGCCCACAAAAGCCTCTTTGATGCATTTCATCCCAGGTGCTTTAACTCTTGATGGAGCGTCTCTGGAGGAGAACATAGCTGCAGCGGAGGGGGAAGCAAAGATCAGGCCGGGAAACACTGTGAGGAGTTAGAGAGGAAACTTAAAATAACAATTTCACTGCTTGTTTGAAGTCGTGGATTTGATAAGAGTCAGACTAGATAAGAGAAAATCAACGACTCAGTCTGAAATGACATGTGGAGCCATTTGAACAATGTTGAATTGATTCTAATTTAAGATTTCTGACTTTTTAGGTTCAAACTTTGTGAAGCCATTTTGAAGAAAATCCTCAAAAACTCTCAAACAAAATGGAGCACACACACACACAAACACACGCACACAGTATTAGAGCAGTTTTGAGCGTGTTGCTGCCAAAAATCTCCTTGTCAGATGCACTAAAGACAAAGTTTCTTCACTGTCTGGCTCCGAGCTTGAGGCGAGTGAGTGTGTGTTACAGGTTCTGCCAGCTCGAGAGGCTGTGCAGCGTTCAATGCTTCCTTTCATCACATCCCTACCTGTGCCCTCTCCTGAAGTCCTGCCAGTTGTTTGGTGGCCAAAACCTCCTCCATGAAAAATGCAACAGCTCAGAAAGGGATTTTTAGTGTGAAGGTATCAGCGATCTCCCTATCAAACATTACCTTCAACAGCACTGAACACTGGAGTCTGCAGTTTCATTTACATGCAGCACCCCAGAGTGTGCGATAGCTGTGTGTCTGAAAAGTAATCAAGGTGGAGAATGCAGGAAAATAGCAGCAATATGCATTTAAACTGTGGTTGCATATGGTTTAAAGCATAAAATTAATAATACATCTTTTTTTAGCTTTTGTTGTTGCAAAGCATTAAACTTGGGTGTGTTTGTCTTAGCCTACAGAGCGAATGTAGAACTAATTATGGGAAAAACAGACTGTGTTCAGTTGCACACTTGCAGTCCATTAATTCAGTCTTTAAACAAATGTTTTTAGTAATACATGAATATTGAATATTGGTGTTAGTTTGATTCCATTCTCCAGCATTCTGCGGGCCAAAGGGCCCCTGGGCAAGACACAGAACACCTGATTGCCCCTGAAGGCTGTGCCGACAGTGTGCCATTGACTTATGATGGAGAAATGCAAACTGTGCATCTATGTCACATAGATACAGCACGTTCAGAAGCACTTTATGAATGTGTGTGTAATTGCAGAACTGTACTGTAAAGCAGTAAAAAAGTGCAATATAAATACTGACCATTTACTCTGTTATAAATATTAGTGCCAGAGTAGAGTTCTTTTAGCAAACTTATTGTATGACCCTCTGTGTGCTGAGAGATGTCCTGAGTTGTTCTCTTGAGGTAAATACTTTCTTCAGATGTCTTGAGGCACATGTGATTTGCACCTCATTGAAGTCACAGCTCACATGCATAAAATGCTGCAGTGAATGACTTTGTTATTAAAGGGAACTGCAGGCTGCGAGTACAGGAAAAACTTCAGGAAATATGGACCGGAGTCCAAATAAATGTTATACCACTGTGCTGGAAAGTGGATCAATAGAGAACAACAGCTGGAGTACTGGCTTGATAACAGCTCCAGCATTTTGTCCTTGACTCAATCAGTGGTGGCTCTTCACCATCTATCATAAATTAATATTGATTAATAAATAATTATATGTTTGCTTGATTGTGTCTGTGTTAAATGTGTGTTACAAGTTAAACCAAATATATCAGCTTGCACGTTTAACTCATAAACCCAATTTTATTTATTTTGAACCTCGATGCCTCTACGTCCCCATACAATACATTCAGTATATACATTTGGCCATGAGGGACTGTACAGATATGTTATAGTAGTGCATACATAACGTGGCACGAAAATGTACACAAAGGAAACGCACACATGCCACTTTACCACAGTAAAGTGATACACTAGATACACACAGGGCAAGTCAATGGCAGATGGCTGCTTACACCAGTGCACACTCTCTCATTCACACACACACACACACACACACACAGCTTCATGCATGCACGATCGTGCGTACATACACACACACGCACTTTAAGACACTTCTGAGGGAGGGGAAGAGCTCTTTCAGGTTCTAATATAAGAAACATACGAATGTGAAGAATGCGTCTGCTGATTGCAGAGACTCCCTCCTCGTGTCCTAACACCTTCCACTCTGCCTCCCCCTCATTCTCCCCCTCCCACCATTTCTCCTTTTTCCTCTGTCAAAGCTAAGGCCTCTCTCTAAGCAGTGTGGCCATCACACACAGGCTCGTCCTTATAGTAGAGAAATACTCATGAGCAGCAGTAACTAAATAAAGAGCCTCTACTGTCTGATCTCTTCAACAGGGAACATTTAGAACATACAGGATACACATCTATAACACAGTTTATTTTAAATCTGCAATATCTTCTTTCAAGGAAATACATAGGTCCACTGCAACAACATTCTAATCCCTACTAAAGCTGTGGTGGCTTCCTCCTCACATGAACAGACACCCTCATATAACGTACTGCAATCATGTAACGACAGCAGCGCCCGTCTGCTCGCGCGCTGCCGTGACAACACGCACATCCCACTTTCTGCAAATGCCTTCTATCTATTCAGGTCATTCTGCTGATTACATTTCTTCCCTGTGGACATTTTTGTACCATCACATGTCAACGTTTTTGGCGGAGGCACACACTCACACAATCATTTTTCCCTTCAATGACTGCAGTTTATAGAGTTGCATAGCGCAGTGTGGATATAGTCGAAGCCAAAATTTGTATTCAGAGGTCACACTCGCTTCAAGTCAGCTTCTGGTTCCTGGTGTCGGCCATTTAAAGCTCGGACGAAGAGGCAAAACATTTTAAAATTTGATTAGGATTTGTTCATTAAACCAAACAACGATTTAATTTTGCAACTCATGATGACTGTTTGACTGTACATGGTGTGCTGTGACTTCTCAGCAGTATAATATGCTGTGGGCTGGAATATTCTTTCAGTAAACCACAGGGAGCGGGCCACAACGCACACAGGTCATTATTGTGAGTTGCTAAAATTAAATGTGGTCAATGAGCAAACACAAAAATAAATTGTGTGACTCATAATTGCTCAATTCAAGTTCAAGAAAGGTTCAAGAAAAAAAAAACAAAAAAAACACAGACAACCACAGAGATTTGTTCAATAACTCTCACCAGTTTGTACCAGCGGGGTTAAAAACACTGGAACTCACAGTCTGTGCACATTTCCACACCTGCATCCTCACTCACATTCACACACGTATGCACATCTGGTAGTAAAGGGTCGATGACAGAGAGCATGACAGGTCAAAGGTAGGTCTTAATCCGGTTCAAACAGGCTGCGTTGTGATTGGTCCGAGGAGAATAGGCCATCGTCTCTCGCTTGAGGCGCCGACGATCCCCTTGGTCAGGAGACGGCGTGACTCGAGTTGTGGCCGCTGAGGCAAACGTGCATTGAGCAGAACTTCAAGCGACAAAAATGCAAAGCACCACAGTTAGAAGAGGCTGGAGTAGTTCCCAAATAACATGATCACATCGGCACAGGACGATGAGGGCGAGGGGCCGGTGGGGGCGTCACAAAGAAGTAACACATCAGTAACAATTACCCCAGAATTAATTACAGTCACAGAACAATCGATAAAAGCAGAATTAGAAATCAGCTGATCTCGCGGACTGATTTGACCCATGCATTATAAGGCATTAACCAAACATTTGTTACTGACATCACATAGTATCATATTAGTGACTATACATACAATTGCGGATCTGGGAAAAAAATGTTTTTTCTTCTTTTTATGAAAATGTTTTCATAAAAAAAAATCTTGGATTAACTGGATTAAAAAACATATTCCTAAAAGCAATGATGTGATTTGAAGGGAATTGGAATGTCGAACGGAGGGAAGATCGATGTCTGCAATCCCATTGTACCTATTGATCTGCAGATGGGCGAATGAAATTGATTTTCTGAGGTAGACAATGCAGGCATATTTCATTCTCCCGATGCAAAGCCACACTAAGCAGGGGCAGCAGGGGTAATTTGGTCTATTCGGACAGGCTCTGGTCTCTTGCCTCGGCCAATTGTAATGTGTTGGATGGGACGACCCATCCATCACGCTCCCCTGCCTGTCTCACCACTATGGTACTTACACTGTCATTGATGTGATGCACCCACGTGGTGATGGATAGCAGACAGCATGCACTATGACAAGATAGAGAGATCAATCTGCACAGCTCGCAGGCCTGTTGTCTCGGTGCAGCTGGGGAAATACCATTCATACACGACCAATTTATTCAATATCCTGGACACTGTACGGCGCCCATGTGGACAATATCCCTTAACATGCCCCATAAAAGTCGCTTTACTTACACAGCGCTTACAATCTTCAAGTCCCCTTACAAACAATTACATTAACAGCAGAGCTCAACCAATGGAGAAAATCAGACACACAACTGTCATGACGTGCACTCTGAGGAAAAAGGTACAACATGTTAGGATGGAAGTTACGTCTGATGTTGTACCTTTATTTTTCTTTGAGTGTTTAGTGCCAAGTGGGGTCAGCTCAAGAATAAATGAAATGATGTTCCTCAGTCTGTGATGTAGTGAATTGGGTGACTGTCATAAATAAAAAAATAAAATAAAATATAATAACATCAAATAATAAAGACTTTTTGCAATCATTGAGTCTGTAAGTATGAGATAGTATGAAGTAGGCCTTCAAAACAGGTTTGGACTGTCGGCCGGTGAGGTGAGTTAGGATCAGCAGTTTAGGATGCCACTGTTCGTCTTCCCATGAGCCCTTGGGGCTCCGTCCACAGGGACAGGAAGAGTGGAGCCACTGAGGGTGGTCCAGTGAGTGCTGCAGGGGGCCGACGCCTGCAGGTGACCCATGGCACTATAGTGTCCTAATGGCTACAGGGTAGAGCAGGGACATGTGTTCGGCACCCTTGATAGGCAGCTTGCGGCTGGAGTAGAAATGGATGATCTCAGGCACGCTGTCAAACGGGCAGCTGTTCTGGCCCAGGATGTACTTGTTCTCCTTTGTCCGCGACAACTTCATGTGCATGAAGCCCTGGCTGCTCCTGGAGACACGGGGAGACAAAAGACAGAGACGGAAAACGTGGTGTTAGTTGGACAAAAACAAGGTCAAGAGATCAAAATCTTCAACTGCATGAAAAGAGAGTGTAACTTGTGTAAAATGTGAGACGACAAAAAAATCCAAGACACAGAATCAGAATAATGGATATATGTTAATCATAAATATCTGTCACAGGGCACCTTGAATGGTAATTTAAAAAAAAAAATTATTCCCCCCAAAAAATATATATGTAACACAATCAATGTTAAACCACCAAGGTTTTATATTTGTAAACATTTTCCCAGACTCTAGAAGAGCGACTTTTTGTGCATGATGTCATAAAAATGTCCATTGCTCAATCGGGGCCTGGTGGGCATGTCTCAGGACTGTGGGAAGAGTGAAACTGTGAGTGTCTCTGCAAGGATGTGCAGATGTTGAGATATTTCACTGGGTAAGTGAAAACTTTGATCTGCTGATGAAACATAACAGGATCGACAAAGGCATGTTTATGTGTATGGAATTTCAAAGCAATCCATCCAGTAGTTTTCAGTCAGGAACAAAGTTGCAGGATCGATCGACAGAAAGACAGAAAATACTGAATATATTGGATAGAGAACAGATCAGCTCTCCTCGACAGCCCCTTTCTCATTTACTCTCACCGACGTTGCTCCCAACAGTACGTGACAATGTTCTGAAAGCTGGATTACCTCTGATAACTTTGGAGCTGCCTGGAGAGCGGACTAAAAGCCGGCTGCTCGAGGCTGTGGGTTTCACATCCAGAGCACCAGGGCATTGCTAATGAACCCCCAGGATAAATCACTTAAGCTACAGAAATAAATGCATGGCAAATTAAAAGCTGCCTGTGTTTCTAGAAGCCTGTGATCAATACATTTTCCATCTTGCCAGTAATCTTACGCCTAAGAATAGAAAATCACTTATTTGTCGTTATTAAGTGATGGAACAGTAAGCTTTACTGAGGGACTGAAACTAATGGTCCTTATATCCTGCTGAAAACATTCTGTTTTTTCTTTCATTTGTCATTCGCATAATAGCTCAATATAATGAAAATGCAAGATAAATTAGCATCATTGCTTTTTCAATCAGCAGCAAGTGAGGACTACTGTTGGCTCACTTGCTGGGTGGGTATCAAGAGCAAACAACAACAAAATGTGCACAATCCACTCACTAAACTCCAACCTATTTTACTTTATATCATATGTTTTTTAATTTGAAATACAATTCCTGCTACTGCAATGACAAAAAAACTAAACATACTGCACTGAGGTCACCTTTGACAACTGAAATCAGATCAGTTCATCTTTAAGTCCGTGACATCTGGTCAAAATTTGAAGATATCCCCTAAAGACAGATGTAAGATACATATATATATGTTCAGAGGCCAGAAACACGTTTTGTGAGGCCACTGTGACCCTTGATCACCCAAAGTTAACTGGTTAATCTGTGATTCTATGTGAACATTTGTGACAAATGTGAAGAAATTGCACCAAGGTGTCACAGTGACCTTTGACCTCCAAAATCAGGTCAAGCTTCAAGTGACTGGGCCATATGTATGAAGTTCGCTGTGGGTCCTCCTGATATATTACATTCACCTTGACCTTCATATCCACCAAATTCTAATTACTTCATCTTTGATTCCAAGTGAATTTTCGTACCAAATTTTGGAGACGTTCCCTCAAGGTGTTCCTGAAATGTAGCGTTCAAAAGACCAAAAACACGTCTGTAAAGAACAGTGAAATTGACCTTTGACCACCAAATTCCCCCATCAATTAATTCTCGAGTCACACTGAACGTTTAATCCAAATTTGGAGAGATTCCCTCAAGGTGCTCTTAAGATATCTTGGTCACGAGAATGGGACAGACAGACAGATTATTAATTCAACAAGCCGAGGATGTGGGATTATTATTCTGGCTGCGATACACATAAAAGCAGATTCTGGTTTGGATAAGATCGGGTGGTTGAGAGTGTCCGTGAGGTTTTACAACCTTCACATGGCATTCATGTGTTCACAAATAGTCGAGCAGACAAGCAGAGTAATCACTGTTTTTGAGGTCATTGAATATATTCCCACTGTAAACACATGTATGTATTTGTGCATGTGCCAATTATCTGTGATAAACAGGGGAGAGAACTGGGCTCTTGGCACCTTAAACACGAGGCATGTCAATTCACTTATCTCATAATTGCATGTGTAAAGCCTGCGGATGTGTTTGCTCCCTGATGCACAGAGTGAAACCAGCACAGAGATAACACTGAAGTGGGGAAAGAAGCAAAGCACGTACAGGGTTCAATTTAGGGACAAATTCAAACTAATAATATATCTCGATGTGAGATTCTAAGTAGACGAGATTATTGTGATCATCATTATTACTACAGCAAAAGTGAATGTGGAATCCTATGAACTGCAAATGGTCGATGATGAAAATATTTCATATAACTATTTCTGAGATATTTCTGAGCAAGCAGGCTGAAGCATGTCAATAATAAGTTCATCATGATTTCAGGAGAGCAGGACAAATTTCTTTCGCCACACGGTTCTACCGTCCTGCGAATGGTCCCAGGAACACTCATTTAAAAAGAGAAAATAATCCTCCCTGCTAAGTGCCTTTGATGATTCTTCATGCTGAGCACGGGGAGGCACGGCGTCAGGTTACACAGAGCCACACTTAAAATGGCAAACACATCAATAGCATCATTTTTAGATTCCCAGCTGGCTCCGAGACACTGTTCAGGGCAGCTTATCATGTTACGGTCCTGCAGAGACAGAAATCAGGACAACGGAGCAATACAACAAGGTTGCTGATAAAATTACTATTTTACGAAGGACAAGCCTTTTGTGGTGTTATATCTCGGTGCTTGTGGCCTTCTATTGTCTAATCAGAATGAATCTCTCTGGGGGAGGTCTGCTGTCCGGTTTATTGAGGTTTATGACTTTGATTTGAGCTCTGTCGACCTCAGAGCAGGAAGAGCCTGACAGCAATCACCACTTATCTCCACCTTCTACATATTGAATTGCTGCATGAATGATGCTCTCTGTGTTATGAATCCATGGCACCAGAAAAAAAAAAACAGCAAAGTCGTCTGCCAAAAGATAATGATGCTTGGCAGAAGCGATGACCTTTTGAAGCATTACTGGGCATCAGATATCCCGTGTGCCCATTATTTCATATGAACACAAATTGAATAAGTCTACACAGGATGATCTCTACACAACTGATGAAAAACGGATATAGTTAGAGGTGTAAGGCAGGCTTAGCAGTTTAAGAGACAAAATCAGTCATTTACATACGTTTAATATGTTTGATGGACGAAGCAAGAACAATGCAACACTGGAATGGAATTAAGTAGAGCACATACATAGAAGATGCATATAAACTGTTCATTCCCTAATGAAGCCACATTATCTCAGCTACAATTGCTGGTAGTATAACGTTTCTGGTGCTATGTGTTGCTGTACAATGGCTGAAAAAAACTTTTAACCTCTATGAAACAACATTTACCTTAGCTAAATCCAGATTTTCATTTGGATCTGTCCCAAATTGCACACAATCATAGATTTTAATTCCTGCCCCTCTGTCCAGATCCAGCTCAAAATCTAATGGGTTCTTTCTTGGAACGTGTCCAATCATGATCATCACCAAGTTTCTTGTAAATCGATGGAATAGTTTGACCTCATCCTGATGACAATCAAACCACCCATCCACCCAACCAACCATCTTACTATCAAACCAAACATCCACTCACCCGACAAAAAGGGGTGAAAACACAACCTCCTTTGCAGAAGTAAATGTGCTTTGGTGTATGTGTTTGTGTTTCCTGGTGTAGTCATTCATCTCACCTGGGTCACATACAGGAAATCCGATCTTTTCTCTATATGGATCCATCTAAACTATTAACCAAATCACTACAAAAGCACAAGTAAAGAAGACGAGTGCAATTGCAGATGCAGATATTCTTTGTATGCTCTTTTAACTGACTATATAACTGTCTCTTACTCTGCTCTGGCATCAAACAGCTTCTGTTGGAAAGACGTTCTTCTTTCACTAACAGTTTCTCTGCTCAGCAAGCGGAAACATGCTGTGCAGGGCTCTCTCGTGATGTGAGATACAGGATGACACGGTGCTCTGAGAGACTTGTGAGGGGTTTAATAGGTTTCAAACAAACTAAAAGATTTCTCTCTACAGAGAGATGAAATAGAGGAAGGATGGGAAGGTAGGGCGGTGAGGGGAAGTGAAAAAAACAAAAAAGGGGGTTAGGAGGGCACAGTAGACAGAAAACGCTTTCTGTTAGTGCCAGAGTGCTCTTGAGGCTGGGGGTCTCAGCGACGTCTGTCTTTATCAATAATGCAATACACGTATGTGCCACCTCATGGCCTTATACATTTTTCAGCAACCTCAGACATGGAGGATCTTCACCTCGGGTCCCCGCTCATTTTCAGTGTGGCAGCAGGGGAGGCGTGCGAGGAGGCTGAACTCAGGATCACCTCCGCCTGCAGTGTGGTGGCACCTTTCATTCCCACGAACCAGCCCACTGATTGTTTTCTAGGCTTCTTGTTTCTAGAGATCTGAGTATACACACATCAGTGTCTACATTCATGCACACACAAAGAAAAAGAGGAGCAGACACCTCCAGAAAACATTTTTATGCCATTTTTTGTTTGTTAAGGCACAAAATAGTGAGCCGTTTGCAGTGTTGTTACAAAGGAACAAAAACACACAACTTAACTTGGTGTGTAGTAATGAAGTCAATGCCAAGATTTAATTATTACTCATTAGAAGCTTATTTCTTTACAGCTTTGTCAACTACTTTGCGATCATAGCCTGCTTAATCCCACATACTACTTTAGGCTCCGCAAGCCTTTAGGCTATAGCCCTGGAGTCATCTCTCTGGCAGGCAGGTTAAAAGCACCTCAGCTGGTTACAAAGTCCAGGACATCCTTTGCTACACTTCCCACTGAGTCACAGAGATTAAACACCTCTGCTGCACCAAAAACTAACACTGTCTCCTCAGCGTGGCTTTTTCTTTTTTTAATCTTCTTCTACTTCTTCAGTGTGACAAACAGCTATTCTGTGTGTCACAGAAGTCATTTCACAACTTGCTTTTAGTTTCTCTAAACTGTAGCCCTCAGGTCAGAGAGGCGGGTGACTGGCAGGAAAATTGTAAAGCTAAAATGAACTGAGCTTCCTGTAAGTAAACCACTAGACTCCCCTACTATCTGCATCAGTCATGCAGTTCATTACTAAGGGTCAGATGGGTGGCTGTGGGATGTGAGTTAGTGTAAATACATGAATGTTAGTAAGAACGTTATCAGGCAGAATGTTTGAACAGTTTTAAACACAATGCTCATGCTCAGATTTTTGCCTGGTTTAATTGAATCTGTATCAAACATTTCAGCTGCAATTGTTTCAACACTTTCCCAGTGTTGCATGGTTGAGTCTCTTACTGCAAAATGGACTTTATAGCCAGGAAATGTGAAAAGAGCATTTGCCAAAACAAATACTAACATAACATAAAAGAGAAATTTAAATTTCATCATGATTTTGGCAACTTTTCAGACACATTTATCAACCATCAAACCACAACCAAAGCTGTTTTCTTTTTGCTGTCAAAAATAACAGGATGTGACCCCTCTTTTGCTCTTCAAGCTAACATAACCTCTACCGAATGTCAGACAAGACTAAGCCAGTCTCATGGGCTTCTTTGAACTCTCTGTATTGTGTTGTAGAGATCAGGAGTCGTTGAAGATTAACGGGGATGTGGGCACGTCAAAAAAACGGAGGAGTCGACAATGTCAGAGGGGTTACCAGGGGGAGGTGGACGGCCAGAGACGGGCAAGATGTAAGTCTGAAAGGTGAAAATGTTTACTGTACTTAAAAGGCAGAGTCAGCAGATTATTAGGGCACAAGGACCTCTACAAGCAGAAAATATGATAACCCACCTAGAACTGTGTGTAGCTGCTGAGACACTAGACACGTGGAATTTTATTTACCCTCTACACTTTATCACAGTAGATTGTATGGAGCCTGTGCTTTTACCTTTTTTCACCCAGCTATCATGTGCACTTGTGTATGTTATCATACTGTACAGTTCGTGGCTCATTAGTAATTGCTGTCCTTACTTAAGGGAGAGGGAGTAGTCGTTCTTGCTGGTCTCGCTGTTTCTCACCAGATAGCTGGCCTCCTTACACAACCTGAGCAGAGACTCTGCATCTGTCCGGCTGATCGCTCCATGGTACCAGCTACAGTGAGCGATGGGAAACAGAGAGAGGAGGAAATAAAGTAATGGTGAGAATAAGCTGAAAATAGAACCAATGAAAACAAATAACAAGGATCTAACTTTCTAATGAGCACAAAGTGAACACTAAGGGCCAAATTAATAGTTGTTACAAACACAACACCAAGTCCTGACTCACAACTGGCTTTCCAGGGGCATGGTGGGGTCAATACGCTCCCCTAGAGAGGAGCTGCAGTGGTCCAGCGACGTCATTTTAGTGTTGACCAGACAGCCGCTGGAGTGTCGCTGCAGTGGGCGAGTTTTCCCATCCTTGGTCGGAGACATTCGAGACTTCTCCACGCCATCGAACTGGACTGTAATACAAGAACAATACATCAGCTGAAATAATTAATAACATGACAGTCATTTGTACACACTTCAGATAGATTTCAGTTTAAGGTCACTTGAAAACAATAGTGTGCTTCAGAGGAAGGAGATATTTGTAGAGGTTATGATGTAAAGTGCTGTTACATGATTCTACTGAACTAGATCAGCAGCGTGAGAACTGAGCACACCACACACACCCACAACTCCCACACACAAAAATTGAGCACAACAGAAAGATTCACACACACACACAGGCTTGCACAGCTATCCTTACTGGGACTTTGCATTGACTTCCATTCCTTTTGGACAACCTAACAACAAACCTTATCCCGAAAATTATCGATTCATGGCTAACTCAAACCTTAACCTAACCCCAATTCACATATTGCCACTAGCCCACTGGCTCAGAAATGAAGATGTGCCTCATTTGGACCAGGCTTTGATCCCCGTCAGGTCTACTGATCCTGACAAGGTCCTAAATAGTTAACAGAAACAAGTACACACACGAACACACACACAAATCCCAAGTGCATGTCCTGCAAGTCAAACATTAACCTGGCTTTTCAAAACTCTCACGGTTAACTGTGGACATGACGAGCTTCTGGCAGCCTCACAGGGAACTGTTTTAAAGTATGTGGGGACTGGAGCTGACCTGTGTTCATGACATGACTGGCGAAGGTCACGGGACACATTCACAGCCAACAGCCAATCAGCACACAGGGGAAAAAGGCCTTGCATTTATTTACAAAAGCTAACATGAGAACAAAAGAGGAGATTATGTTCACGAGGACAAGTGAAAGTGAATGTGTACTTTTGGTTAGAGAGGGTTATGGAGGCTGAAAGACCGAAAGGCTCTACAGTTGGATGTTGGAGTGGTGTTGTGGTCATTTAAATGTGTGTACATGTGTGTTTTTTACCCTTTTCTCTAAGCCATCCATCACTGTAATTGATGTCACAGCACCCGCAGTGTTGAGTAGACCTATTTAGAGCCATTGATGTGCATCTCAGGCAATAACAGAGGGCCAGCTTCCTCTATCAGCCATATGACAAGCTTTAGCTGGAGATTATTTTCTGCTTTAAGGTTTAAGATCAACATATCAAAGCAGAGTCTTTGACGGAAGCAGTTAGTGAAGTTTGAAGCCTCTGGAATGCGTACGCCTTAGCAGCTCTCTGTTGCTAATGGCCAGTTTTGTGTCTCTGGTTTAATTACTGGATCTGAACATGGCAGCTACAGCACAGACTGACAGGCACTGTGATCTTCACAACATGTCGATGGAGACAGGGCCTGCAAATGTCTAGACTCTGCATTTCAGGCAGAGGATAGCGTTACACTGTGTGTAGTTGGTGAGCTTGTCAAGTCTTCCTATATATCACTGAGTGGAAGGGCTGATCAGTCAATTCAAGTTACAAGAGACATCATGTCAACAAATTTGACTGCGCCTACTCTAAGTGCAAGACTAAATTGGAAAACATATGACCTTCTGTAGAATCTGTACATTTAAAGATATATAGCAAATAGCAAAAATCATTAATTCTCTACTTCCAATGGGCTTTGAAAGGAATTTAAAGAGTTAAAAGCTCAGAAATTGAATATAAAATAACTCTAGTGATGTTTTCATTAAATTTCTTGAATTATTTCTAATTATTATTTATTTGGGGAGTGGGTCCGCTCTACGGAGGTGGCCATGTTTTTTACAGTAGCCCAGACCGGACAAACTAAACACCTTTTGAGTTTTTATGACAACTGATTCTCAGGTTCTCTTTCATGTTTGGAAGGGGAGGGTGAGGTCAGGGGTATTTAGCTGCAACATGCTACTTCGTTCCTAAATATCACTAAATTCTAAATACTGAACCTTTAAGCTGCAGTGCTACAACCTGAGATCTTGAGATCCGTTGTGGGGAGAGAAATACAATACTTTTTACAATGCAGATATGGTAATCTCTATAAACAGATTCAGCATGTGAATATGCAGAATCTGCAGACAAGGGACAAGACAGAAAAACCTTCTGCTTTTTGTTCCTGTTTGGACCAATCAGATTTGAGCAGGCTTTGGCTTCCCACATGTAAACAGTCCGTGTGGAGTAGAAAAGAGGCAGAACATTGGCTGAAATGACTATGCTTTTTAATTTGACTGAATTTAGGCCCAGATAGCTGTTAATAAAGATTATAAAGATGTGATCTGGACCTGAAACATCTACAAAATGTATACCAGCTTATATTTTGTGTGGAGATACAATTGAAACTAGTCTGACTGTAAACAGTGAAGATAGAGTCTTGACAGAAATTTGCCCACAGAGGCTAATTCGACGTCAGACGACAAACGTTGGGCAGATATAGTAACCTGTTATCTTTTAGATCCACATATAAGGTTTTCACAAACATATACATTACTAAAATAAAGATCTGAGAAAGTTGTACATAAAATTTAGTTTGTAAAAGCAGAATTTTTTATTCTTACCTACAACAATTATGATTTCATAAATCCTCACATCATTTCAGTGACTTTCTGGAGCCCCTGACTGAAAGATTTTTACTTTAACAGGAGACTTCTATGTGAGACACTGAGTCTGGATCTGAGTATGTCTCCCTTCACTTTCTTTGAGGGCACACAATCTGTGAACAGGTAGAAGATAGAAAGCTGTTGTTTCAACTCCAACCACCAGGGGCTCCCCTTCACCTCCACACTCCAGGTTGAACCCACTGGCCTTGAACTCACTGATGCATTTCCCTCAACATAAACTCATGGAAGTGATTAGTCCAAATCACTCTAGCTACCATAGTCATCTCTGCCTCTGCCACTCTTTTCATTAAAGGCTTATGGCCAGGACATAAAATGACAAATTCAAATTGCACTGTTGTGTGACAGCTGGGTGAACTACGGCTCTAACCTCAGACTCATGGAGGACTGTGAGCTTTAAATTAATGTCCTCATAGGTCTGATGTTTGGACCACAGGCAGTCAGACGGTGCTGCATGTAAGTCATCATGACAGATCCCATGAGTTTTCGACTTGTGCAGGCAGGTCATCAGAACCACATGCCGACTGCTGGGAATATGGTGTAAGTAGCATGAGCGTACAGTATATGTGTAAGGATGAGAGATAGCGTTTCCATGGAAACTGACCGAGGGGACAAGGGAGATGCATGTTTGCTCTGCTCATCCCCGTCATCGCTGACAGATCACAACATGAAGACGTAGCCAATTGCTCTCTCCTTCTCCTTCCTTCACTTTCGATTTCTCTTTCTGTTTGCATACATGTGTCTGACCCCTTCCGCTTTCTCTCCCTCTCACCTACTCTTTTGATCTTTCCGCCTCACCCTCTCTGGCCCCATCTCACCTCACTCCGTCTTGTCTGTTTCTCTGTGTTTACACGCCAAGGACAGAGATAGAAAGAGGGATGAGAGGACTGGAGGAATGTCTGCACCAAAGGGAGGCGAGATAGAGCAGTGACAGGTCTGATCTGTTATCTCCATCTGTCACTGATTATGTTGCTTCCTGCAACTAAATAGTTCGATGTTACCTGCTTGCAAATATAAGTTACACTTGCAACATATCGTTTTTCAGTTAACAAGTATTCTAAGCATACACGGCTGGAATTTGGTATCTTGCCTTCACCACACACACTATCCCTCAGTCTAGCTAAACCTCCCTGAGCTCCTCACATTTTACTCTCTCTCCCAGTGGACACACTCTAATTCCACCCTTTCCTTGAATTCAAGACAATCAGTGCTTTATTTGACCTTGATTAAACCTTTTTTCTTCTTCCACCTAGAACAGGTTGAGTGGCTATTCTCGGCGGAGCTCACCCCCTCAACCTTTCCTGTCAGAGCGGAGACTTTTCCAGAGGCGGAGTGCATAGCTCTAAAAGAAGAGTATTACCTTGAAGAGAGTGAACAAAGTGTGAGGGGTATACCGTGTCAGCTTCGATCAGCGGCCATTTGCCAACTCAAGATGGTTGCAGAATAATGTTTTAAGGCTGAATATCAATGGGAGTGGACCAAACCCATTCCCCTTTCATTCTCTGGAGCGCACAGTCCGACAGACATGGCCGACGGGAGATTGACGAGAGGATTGGGCCAAGGGATAACAAAAGCCCTGAGAGGCGGCTTAAGAGAGGCAGGAGTGTGCACGTATGTCACAGACAACACACACATGCCTTCACACACAAAGACGTTTTTGGAAAGCGGCATCTGTGTGTGTGTGTGTGTGTGTGTGTGTCATCTGTATTGTTGCCTGTTAAGTGCAGCAAATGGAATCTGTGTATCAGATTGATCTGTCAGTCACATGGTGACTTATGGCTGAACAGTCTGCCTTCTTCAGATGCACATCTTCCTGTGAATGACAAAATAGAGGAGGTTGGGGAAGGGCAGTGTGTGAGAGGAGGGAGCTGATTGGCCAGGACACAGAGGTCAAAATGACATTTCAGTGATGACACTGCAACCAACGCAACATGACTAGTAATACAGCATAACACAAAACTAGAATGGTACTCAGAGTGATCATACCTCCACCAAGGCCCAACAGCTCCCTTAAATTGAATCAAGCTGCACCAAACTTCACACACACTCATAGATACCTTTGTATCACATTAGTCTTTTTAGAAAATATAACCTCCTCCGGCAAGATGATAAAGCTATTAAAACTCAAAAGAAAAAGGAAAACACAATAAACTGACTAGTAAACTTATCCAATGCGTCACTCTCAGCAGGCTTGTTTTCACTGCAGAGCCACAACCGAGCCACAGAAAAGTTACCTTCACCACTGAGGCTTCTAAACAACCTGTCACCTCCGCCTCTGCACACACTCTTGCACAAATTCCTCTAATTAAGCTGGATAATTAATTCTCATTTACTAATGGTTCTCCTATCAAAAACGATGACTAGTCTGAGGGGTGAGGCGAGCCGTCAGCTGCTATATTGTGAGGGGAAAATTAAGTTTTCCAGCTCGAACGTGTAAAATGATTAGCAGATTTGCATCTCATTAGAATGCACTACACACTGGAACGAGCGCTCGGCAACTCTATGAACTGCTACCTTTGAATAAACCCTTTTCTTTTATGTTGTGTATTGGGAACAAAAAGAATGATTTGTTAGATAGATTTTAATAATTAAATCTTAGAGCTCTGAAGTTTGATCCCTGATGATTCTCCCATCTAGGGATATAATTGCTTCTCTTGTATAAATCCCCCAAATTATATTCTAATTAGGTTTTCCACACACAGCGATGACCCACCCAAGTGTCAGCTAACGGTTCTTTTTCTAAATTAAATCTTGATTTCTTTTAATTTCTTCTTCTTACTGTTGATTAGAGGAAAGAGAAGGTAAAAGAAATGCCTAAAACTATGAATAATTAATTCATGTCAAAAACAAAGGGAAAAAGCTTTTCATTATACTCCCACAAAAGTGGCCTCCATTTATATGTAGATGTAATATAAGCCCTGTCAAGGCTCATTAAAATTTTGATAATGGGGAAAAAATAAGAGACAGATTTCCCTGAACTGAGATGGATTTAGTTTTTTGTTAAATCCTGGTCTGTATTAGAGTAAAACACAACATTGAATAAACACATAAAGACCCTTACATCTTAACGGCTGAGCCAGTTGTGAGCGTGTAAGCAATCCTGTGTATAATGGATGAGTGATGAGCTGTGTGTTTCACTAAGGGTCTGCCTGTGTGCTGAGGTCAACAGAGTGCATGGTAACTGTATTCACAGGGGTCGTGGAGGCCACTCGGCCCCCCTGCGTCTGCCGAAGTGACCTTTTGACCCCAAAGATGTAGAGCGGGCCGTACTGGCTCAGACAGAGAGAGGATCACTTTACAGCTGGACGCCAATCTTAAACCCGTTCACATCACAGAGGGAACCAGAACCCTTCCCATGGATTTATGGACATAAATCAACTCCTTGCCCTGTCCTCGCCGGCAGCATAGAGAGGTGTCCTCTTACACCGCCTCGATCTAAGTCGTCCCACTCTGCCAGGGGAAATCCCATTCCTGGCATTAGTTCTGCTGCACGTCCCTCTTTTCCCTGGGTAATTACAGCAGTCAGAGTGTGAGTGTGGGGAACGGCTTCAAAAGTCAATAAAAAGGCACCACTGGTTGAAAATAGATGAATCACTAAAGTCCATTGTGTTTGATAAGATGGTAAATATGGCTGAACCTGAGGTGAGGAGTCTCACGTCGAAGCCTCAAATGGGTTGGGTTTATCTGTTCATGTAAGCCACTTGTAGAAAACAGTGAGCCAGAGGGACATCTGGGACGGTTATGAGTATGTTGACAAGAGGAAATGGGGGTCACAGCGAATGGCAATTACGCATGCAGAAGGCAGTTGAGCACAATTAAAACTAATGAGCCTTCAGCCCTAAAACCTGCACAAGACTTAGAGATTTTCTGCCACATGTAATCCAGATGGAAAAGTACAGCCATTACCTAAATTCACATAAAACAGTGCCACTAAAAGATGTAGACTCTTTAAGTCATTACTGACCAGCACATTTAAAGGAATGCTTTCATATGAATATGCAACCTTTGGTTAAGACTACTGATTTAGTGGGAGCACACACAGGTGGAGTTTTTTCCTCTCTTTATTCGAGAACTTGGTCATTCAGTTAGAGAGCAGGACTTTGGATTTTGTAATGCTTTCAGTCCTCACACTCGCGCTGAAACGTGTGTGTGCACGTAAAACATCTGCTCATGGATTTCTCGTAAGCTTTTTCCTCATTGCATGGATTTTTTGGTACAAGAAGTCTGTCAAAATTCCCCAATAGAATGCCAGGTGTACTTGTGGATGTGTTAGCTTTACTTCTTTAAGAAGAGCATGATCCCGGTTAACGAAACGCAAGCAGAGCAAATCTAAGCACAAGCAGGGGCTATTTGAGAGCAAGTGCTATTGAGGGAGATGACAATAAAATCTGAAAGTGAAATCAACAAATCCTGCTCTCAAACTGAAAGACCAAAGTTTTGAATGAAGAATAAAAACCCATACACAGACGTACTTTACTATTCGATATTAAAATAAGAAAGACGTACAGACAGCCACATTGGAAGACTGATGAATGGATGGATGATTGGGAAGATGGTTGACGGACAATGGAAAGACTGACTGGGAGGGGGTGGTAACTGGAAGAAAACACACTGGACAATGTGAACACCAACACCCACCATGGTGGTGCTGGTCACAGCTCGTCTGTCCTGGCGAGGGCTGAGCTGTCTGGGAGGGAGACTCCAGCTCCTCCACCAGGGGAGGGCTGGTGTTGAGTTGGCCGACAGGAGGGGGCCATGGTAGGTCCTTGATCACTTTAATCTCTACTGCAAGTGTTGCCCAAGTCACCAGAGGAGAGATGGAGGGAAGGACAGGACAGGACAGTGACAGGAGGCATAAATGGACAACCACAGAGGGAGTGAAGAAAGGGAAGTAATGACAGCAAACAGAAGGAGGAAAAAGAGAAAAAGGAGGAAAGGTAAGATAAGAGCTGAAGATGCCAGCATTGGGATAGAGAACCGATTTACAGTATGTTCTGATCCAAGAATCAGCAGCAGCTGGAGACTAGAGGAGGGAGGAATACAACAGGACTGAAAAAGGAAGTTAGGTTAGGGTTTTGATCGCTGAACTGAGACTTGAAAGTTATAAGTGAACTGAAAGATTCAAATTCAGTAAAATTCCATTGGACCCGAAACCCACCTGAGAAGATTGGCCTTTTAAGCCTTCAGTGTGCAGCTTGGAAAAAGGAAGAAGACCTTAGGCCTCTATTAAGATCAACAACAATGTAGACAATATCCTTGACTGGAACAAAACCTGCAGCAATCCATCCTGATAATGGACACTCGCCAGGCTTTTCCCCTTAAATAATGTCCACCCAGGGTATTACCACGGTGATTTGAGCGCTCTTGCAAATGCATCTGTCACTGAGAAAGGGCCACTTGTTAAATAGCTGAGGATCCTTAACTTGGATGGAGAGGGGGAATGTTTTTCCGCCATTCAAATGAAAGCTTCTGTAAGAAGTCAAAGCTAATCAAGATATGTTGACATTAGCAGCTCTGGACAGCTACTGCTTATGTTCATCTGAAGGTTCAGATTGTGAGTCAGTGAATGTTATGTACATATTTTTACCATCGATACCCAAACACAGATCTTCCAGCACACTGTTATTAAGAATTAATAAGCGTGAATGTCCTTGGGGCTGGAGATCTTATGATGAACTAAGTTCTGTGTGATTTCATTAGACTGCTGCTGCATATGGAAGACAATGCTTTAAAGTGCAAAACAGGAAACCTAGAAAACAGTAACACTTGCTTACTGTTTACGTTTCCTAAAGGGGAAGGGAAGACAAATAATGCACATAACCTCCTATAAGTCTTATAAGAACACCAGTGGAGATCCAAAAACCAAAATAAATAAAAAAGAAAGAGAATTGTGGATCAATGACATCAAGGCTGATTCAATAACAGAAGAAGTAAAGGTTGAAGATCAACCTTTATTAAATCAGATCACATGGTGACATACAATTAAAATTAAACTATGGGATAAAATTGTCAAGAAAACCCTTCAGTGTGACCCGACACTCCAGGCTCTGAACGGCTACACAGTCATATCAGTCATGCCTTGTTTGACTCAATGGGGAAAACAGCACCAGATTGGAAGATGTAAGTAAGCCAGCACATAGTGAATTCAAAGCTGTGGGACATGACAATAAGTTGTTGAAGACATTCTTTAAAAGATGCTTTTGGGGTGACCATATGGAAGATTGGGCCCTTGTGCTGAAGCTGCAGGTTTTCGGTTCCAAACCAGGCACTGCACATCTTCCACCATTATTTCCATTTCACACTTACACTTTCCTATTTTAATCTCTTAAACTTGGGTCAAGTTCTGCTCATTATAGTAACATTAATCTTTGCAGTATGATGATTAATAAGAATGTTTTAGATTGTATCTCTCAGTCAAGGCTCAATAGTGCTAATAAGTCAATATCTAACAATAAATTGACAACAATTATTCTGTCACATTTCCACTCAGACCAAAACGCCCCTCTTCGTTGACCAAGAGTCACTTCAGCTGCCTAAGATGAAAAGAATGCAGCTGTAGTCACAACCATTAGTGTGACACTGTCTTTTTATTGGCTGGTACACGGGCGGCTTTTCAGGGAGGACGAGCGTCATTTTATAGACTTGTCTGTCTTCCACCCCTGCGAGGAATTGCAGTACAGCAGTGGTACAAGACATGCTAATGTGAAGCAATATCTGCGAGCAACATGAAGGGGAAAATGGGAGAATATTCAGTCTGACAAGCAATTAAATAGCTGTGCCTGCAGTGTCAGGGGGGTAATCTGGAGAAAGGTGGCTGGAAGGAGGAGCAGCTCGCTGTATATTCCTGATAGGTGAGGTGTGCCATTGTGGAGCGGTGGGGAATGGAGACAGAAGGTCACAAACTCTGGAAGATAATATAACTTCCTCTACTTGGGGGTAAAGTAGGGGACTCTCTTCCTATGAGATTAAAAGCCTAATACTCATTTCACATTGCAGATTAGTGTGTAATTGTTTAGGGAGCAGAAGGCTGTCTGCACTCTGCAGCCTCGCAGTGAGGACGAGGAGATGACTCGTGCTCACTTGCTCGGCTGCACAGCTGAAAAATTGCATTTAGCAGTGTGGGAATTAAGGTAAGCCGATCAGGTGTTTTGTTTTTGGAAAAGGGTTTGACTGAAACTCTTAGAATTTGTTCAGAAATGCTGCCAGTCCCCAGGCCCTTGTGAGTTATCAATAACTCTGGATGCCATGTCGCGTAATGGGTGAGTCCATCTTTACACCATCTAGCATTCCAATTCAAATTGGACACAAGGACTGCGGCCAGAACACAAGTCGCCTGCACACTCTAGGGCTTATTTATACAATGAACCTGAATGCTCATCACGCTGCCACAGAGATTTTCATACTTTCACCCCAACCATACTGCCATCTGTGAAACATACATACACTGATAAATAACCCTGTAAACAGCTGTACTGGACTGCTGCAGCTGTTGAATGATCATCAGCTCTATGGGTATCACACTGTAGTTTGTGTGAACAACAGGTGGAGTTTTTTAATAACTGAATTTTGGGTAGAAAATATGATCATCTTTTTACTAATTCCAGAAATCTCTTTCTGTTTCCAGCTCACATATCTTAAGAACTGTTCATTCTATCGGCTTCGCACTTGGCGTGTGTATTGTTAAGAGCCTGAGGAAGTGCAGTGTTAAATTTGCTTCACAGAAATTTGAATAAACAGGGGGACAGCTCTTTGGGCTCTGTGCAGCAGGTCTATACTGGCTGCTGCTCAATTACTGCAGGTCACTTTTACATTTTCCGAGAGAAAGCTGCAATCAGTATCACCACAGGCAGGTTTACAGCAGAAACTGCACTAGTTTAAAAAAGAGGAACTGCAGAAAGACAAGACCAAATACATGACCACGCTCTACAATCTGAAAGATCTGATTCTGCCATTCTGTGATAAATGGCAGTTAATTTTCTATTTTACTTTCTTGAAAAGTGAACACAAAGAGATTTTGTCGAGCCTAATGACTTTCTCTAAAGGACCATGTAAATACATCCAAAGATTACCGCATCTTTGTCATCTAATCTGATTGCATTTGGATCTATATGCTATCTCTCATCTGCATAATCCTCAATCCATATTAGTACACAAAGCTTGCTGTTGACATAGGAATAGAGGCTATTAACCATTCTAAAATCGACAATGCTCCCCGTCACTCAGGTTTACTATACAAACATGGCCGTGTTAGGACTTGGAAGAGGAAAATTCGACTTCATGTGTCACTTAAATGTCCAGCAAGCTTTGGATAAGTACAATTTTGGCATGACGTCACTTTGACTTACCGCCAATTTGAGTATGAGCATTCAGAGAGCTGCATACACTACAGCTGATTAATTATATAAGAGCACTTAAACAGTAGCTACTGCCACCCCACTGTTTTTTTAATCTGAGTTTAGCTTCCCTTTGTTCTTCTAGGAGCGCATCTATTTTTCAAACCAGGTATTTGTTTACCCAGGCTTTTCATTAGCCAATGGCACTACATCACTGTAAACAGTTGCAGCACCATAAATCACCAACTACATTTGTTTCCACCAACGCCATTTAATTTAGTTCTGCTTAATTTGGTTGGCTAATTGCATGCATATTCAATACAAGCCGGAAGATTGTGATGTTTATGCTGCACATTATGAGCAGGAAAAGCTCTGAACACAAAAAACAGCCTCCTCTGAAGACGTGTTTGTTCCATCGGCACCGGAATCACTGCATATAACAACTGTGCAATGCTCGGGGGGGAAGTAAAATGCCACCTCATAATTCTCCTCATACTGTATCTGTCACATTATACGGTCCAGCTCTCTTTCAAAGCCCAAATCTGTTTTGAAAGACCATGTGTTTGTATAAAAAATGAAAGTGGCACAGGAATGGGATGAGATGACAGCGAGGCCTTTTCCTCACTCCTTTATAAAAGGGGGGAAGGCAGAGGTGGAGGAGTGACGTCTGTTGAGCGCCGCTTCTATACTTTGTGAGAAAGGTTTACAGTGCTGTTGTGTGTGACCAATGTGTGTGAGTGAAGATAACACCCGTGGCGGCGCCCAGAGAAAGACGGCAGGACACATTTGAGGCTCAAGAAAGAGGGCTGTCAGGAAGGTTATCAGCAGGGCGTTGCAGCAGAGGACAGGAGGATGAGCCAGAGTTGCTGAGTGACAGACAGCGTTGGGGGGAAGACTGGATCATCCAAGCGAAGAGATAGACAGAACCATGGCATCAACAAAACAGCTGGTGCAAATAACCAGTGCAGGACTGGAACTGAATCAATTATTTATTTTGGGACATTACACATGAGCCTCAGATTTCTGAGTCGTTAAACCCGCGAAGATTCATTAAAAAACCATAAAGCTCCCATAGACCAGAGGGAGCAACTTCAGGCGGCACCTTCTCTTATCTCCACCGTTAAACACACGTTCCCCGCTGGCCAGGAGCCGAGTGAAAGGAGTTACTAGGAGGTAACAGAGGGCAAGGAGATTAAGTAACAATGGCTCTCAAGCCCACTCCGGCTGCGACGAGGTTCAAGTTTCTCTTGGTGGTGTGTCCGTGTCTGGGTGTGTGAGTGAGTGTGCCACATGTGTAACCCAAAGCGTGCAGGCTTAAACTGATGGACATGCGAGCACACTTTCTCTTAATGTGGTCAAATTCAAAAGTGTCTTCCTCACTCTTCACTTTCAGGACCATCCATCACCTACTCAGGGAGGAAAGAAGGAGGCTATGGCAAGTGTGTGTGTGTG